CATGTATGTGAGTTTTCTAAGTAGGACATAAGATCAACGTGTAATAAAAACCTTCTTTCACGCTGTCTTGTTTAGTAATTGGAGATTCACAGAGAGGCTTTTCTTTACCTGTAATCAGATTTTAGAGGGGATTAAAGCAGATACCTGTTAACGGCTGGTTCTGATGTTTCATGTGTTGAACTGGTTTTTAGTGTTATTGCGTAGCTGGTGCCTTAAATGTCTAAGTAAACTCAATGTATTCTGGGCGGTCATTAAAGAGATGATTGGTTCTTTCCTTTTGCAAGGGCAAATTCTTTTCTGAGGCTTTGCACAAACATTTGCACAACTGTTAGTGAATTTGTAGATCCACTCTAGGAAGTGAAAATAAATCATCTTCAGGAGAGGTGTGACCTTTGACTGAAGGTATGTTGTTTTGGGGTTTTTTTGAAGTTGGTAGGATTCTTTGATTCTGCTATAATTAAGTCTCCTCCAAATACCTTCATAACTATTAATCTTGTTGCTGCACTGTTAGACTCTAGAAGATGGCAAAAGTCCTCTGAAACTTCCTGGGAGAATTCTTCTGTCACATTTTGTCTACTATACATAAGATTTTTCTTCCTGCAGAAAAATCGTGCTCCTCTTTGGCAGTTCATTTGGGTTCTGACCGTGTGCCTGGGCAGAGTTTAGTCTATTTTAAAGAAAACCTTTAGCAGATATTTAGTACAGTCTTTGTTTCAGCCTACCAAAATATTGGTTACTTTGCTGTCTCAGAGGTCAGTGTTGAGAATCGTCACCTGATAAGATAGCTGATACCTAAGTTCATAACATTCAGTGTGAATGAATGTTTGTACAGTTTGGCCAGTATTATTCAAAACCAAAGAAATTTCAAAAAACTTTACATAGAGATAGCTCTTTTCTTTGAATCTTTACTTCCTGTGCTGTTTCCTGCCTCAGCCTGTTACAGGGCTTGAGAGAGAGCTTTGTCTCATTCTGTTGACATAATTAGCCACACCTTCACCAGAGCTGCCTTATTTATGAGAGGGGACTCAAATCTTGACCGTATGCTTTGATTTTCTTTTATTGTATGAAGATGTGACTTGACATTTGGAGCTTGTTGTTATAGCTACAATATATAATTTCTGAATCCTTGAATTCTCTAGTGCATTCTTCAGTCATTCATTTTTTTAGATGTCACCACATAGAGAAGATGCGTTTCCTCTTCCAAATGTGATCTGTTATAGCTGGCCATTCTGTCAAAACTGAGAACCCAACTGCCCGTGTAAGTCAACATCTCTTCCTGGCTTAGCTGAATACGTAACTGAACAGGATACTTGAAGTGGAAGAACAAGAGAATTCAGCTTGGCGTGGTCATCCAGTGAAGACAAAAATCAACACCCACAGGGTTGTATATCCTAAGCTTAAAGGAGAATGGCAGCTTGTTTAGATAATCTTTGATAACCTTATCTGGGATGTTAGATGTGTTTCACGTCACTGTCTAGCCAAGTAAAAGGTTTATCGTTGCAGCTGTGGTAACTACTGCCTTGGCACCAGTGTACTACCAATTTGGATCATGAGGGTTCAAGCAGTTTTCCGACTTTCCCATTTTATAGGTGATTTTTATATGCAACTTGTATCTTGGAGACTTTTAATTAAGCACATAAATGACTGCTGGTGTAGATAAGATTGAAACTTTATATCTTCAATTGAAATTCTATTAAAAGTTGATATTTCCATGCCTAAAGGCACTTTCTCTTTGCAAAAGTGTAACTATAAGGATATTCTTGTGAGTTTTATAACAGTTCATCTTTAATCTGAATAACTTGTGTGTAGGGGTGGGGTTTAGGGTTTTTTTTAGTTGAACTATAAAATTTCCATGGAAAGCGTTTAGTCTTCCAGCATGAAACTCCCTCTGAAAAAGAATTAACTTATTGTTTCCATGGATACAGATAGAGCGCTACACCAGTGGTCTCCAAACCTTTTTAAGATCATGCACCCCTATCAGTAAAACACAATTGAGCATACACCACCAACACCTGTATATTTATTTATAAGTTATATACATGTACTACTGTACTAATCTCTTATGGACATGATAAAACATACCCCAAAATGGAAATTAAAGATGAGATAAAGATTAAATAAACACTATTTTTACAGTGCAAAAAATACTATATTCTTATACCTGAAAGGATTGTCTTGCACACCTCTCCAGGTTTTCACACCCCACTTTAGAAACTATTGCTTTTCCTGTGGGGAGATGTCCCAGACAATATAAACAGGAGATCTAAAGGCCAGAGAGAAATTATCTATGAAGAGTCTGCAATTTTTCACATGTGCATTTTAGAGACGGCACTTAAAGCAGGTGCTTGTGTCAGGGTTTGATCCCTGTGTATGAAATGGATTGGTTTGTCTTCACTTCCTACTTCTATATGATTTGGAGTGGGAGTAGGAAAGGCCAAATTAAGTTTTATAACATTCAGTGGTCTGTTTTACAGTGGCTTTTCACACCTGTGAAACAACTGGATATTTGACTTTGTTTATTGCAGAACCTAGCAGTACTTACCTTTTTTTTTTTTTAAGTTTTGTAACTTATCAGATATCTTCTGTTAATTTGGACTAAAATGTTTTGGTGTTAGACTTTGAATACTGTTGATATATTTTCTCTGTGCTAGTATTCAAATCCATATAGTCTGTGTTTGGGATATCTTTGTGGACTTTTTGCTAGATACTACCCTGTAAATAAACTTTCATAATCTTCAAGGTAGACTTAGAAAATCTGGTGTTTGGGTGTTGTGTTTTTTTTTTTTTCCTTCCAGAAGTTCATTGTCCAG